GTCCAGCACCTTGTAAAAGTCCCGCTGCTGACACACAAAGAGATCGCTGTCTGTTTGAGCCTGCCTGGGTGAAGGTGCTGGCTTTCGACAGCGGAATCGAAGTGGGAAGATCTCTGTTGGATCCAAGGCGTGTCAAGTACAGCTGAACAGATCAGCCCTGTTCTAATTACTTCATTACAAAGGGCTTGGAATTCAAGTATTTTTGAAGCAGCAGGTGTTTTGCATAACCACCTTGTTCATTTTCATCCATTTGGGGCTGGAAACGTCTCCAAATGGCAGGAGGCTCGGGGACTTCAAGCTGTCAGTATATTTTACTCTGTAGTGCAGTGAAACATTAGACTCAGTGTTCTGGGGTAATTAACGACACAGTTGACGTTTTCTAAAGCTCTGTTGTGGGCTCAGAAAATTAATTTGAAGCATTTGTAGCTTCCCCTGATACAAAATAAATCTCTTGTGCCTCTAACTGGGAAGCCTCTGTACTGCACTCAGTTGTTTCTTGGAGGCAACTGCTTGATGAGCAATCACAGATATGCTCCAGCTAAAAATGTTGTCAGCTCTGTATTGTCAACTTGGAGGTACACGATAGTCTTCACCATACTGCTTGGCTTTTAGTTTAAATGCTTCCAAAAACATGCTGCTTGTTACTGTGATTTCCTTGTAGATTTTCCATGTGTGGCAGCCTCCTAGGTCTCAATAAATGTCTCCTGGTAATAGGCGACCAGAATTTTTGAGCTGCCTGTTTGCAGACGTGATCCTAATTGTGAAACTGAACTGCTCTTCTCCCACCTGCTTCCAAAGGACACACATGTGTGTTTCTTTGTTCAGGGTTTTGTACAATTGACAAGTACTGTGTAAAAAAACTTGTTTCTAATTAAGATCTTAGGATACCTTTTTTTTGGACTTTGTGGTATCCTGGATATCAGTCCTCTCTTTAGCAATGAAATTATGCTGCGCTGCAGAAATTAGCTGAAGTCTAGGCTATACTTTTTGGCATTAATGCAAGAAAAAAAAAAAGGGAGGGAACCTTTAAGAACCTGCCCATAGAATCACACCATGTTCACTTCAGGGCAGCTGAGGAGCTGGGTGGGGAACGTTGTCTTATCCTGCCACCAGCCCAGGCTGCTTTCTTACAGTGAAAGGAATCTCTGTGCCCTGCTAAAATGGTTCCTTCTGTTTGGATTTTTTTTTTTGGTTGGTTGGGTTTTTTTTGCTGTTTTTTTAGTTTTATGTTTTAACCTGCTAGAATGCCCCTTTGGTTTGGAGCCTTTGTGTGCACAGTCACTTTCCAGGAGAATTAACTGAAGAATGGTCCGAGTGACTTGCAGACTGTTGGGCAGGAAGTGTCTGGCAGAGGTGGGGAGCTTATAGATCTAAGATCTGTCTTTCATCTTGCCAGCAGCATCGCCACCTCTCCAAAGACTGGCTGTCTTTGTACTGCCCACGGGGGTCTTCACAAGCGCGGAGTCCTTGAGCAGGGCTGCTGCCTTTGAGAGGGTTTGGGAAACAATACTCTCCTCAAAGATGAGAGCATGTTTTTTTATTAATGCTTCTTCTGTCATGCAGTTGTTATCCAGTCTTCTGGTGGCCTTAGCAAAGATGAAATTGAGAACATGGTGAAGAATGCAGAGAAATATGCAGAGGAAGACAGGCGAAGAAAGGTAACGTGATCGTTGCGGTGTCTTCCAACTAGTAGTGTAGCTGCCGGGTGTTGCTGTGCTATGCTGTTGACTGGGCCCACCTTGAAGGAGCTGTAAGTTCTTGTCTGCATAGTCCTGAGCTTCGTTGCGGTGTCTTCCAACTAGTAGTGTAGCAGCTGCCGGGTGTTGCTGTGCTGTTGACTGGGCCCACCTTGAAGCAGCTGTAGGTTCTCATCTGCGTGGTCCTGAGCCGTTTGCTTGTGCAGTCACCTGAATATCTGCTTGCTTCCTTACATTCCATTTACGCTCGGCGCAGGTAAAGCCATCAAGAGATGTTTGAAAGCCTCACTGACTTTGTCAAGAAAAAACTGATATTTGCCATCGTTGAGTGACTGAACCTGTGATATTCATAGGATTAATGGATGGAACTAATTGGTTTAATGAGGGTAGTACTAATGAGTTATGCTACTAAATATAGAGCATTGATTTTTAAGCAGACACAGTGAAGGCCTGCTCTGGCGTATGGCACCAGCATGTTTAGCCATTGCTGAAACTAGCACACTGAATTTACCCACTGGGTGTTCTCTAGTCTGTAGAAACCCACCTCAGGTGTTCAGGCAGCACTTTAAATCTCACCCTCAGTAGTGAAGGGATCACTACACCTTCCTGATCATGGTTTTACTGCCATGGAAGTATCACGAATGCATAAGCAGAGTTATCGCTCTGCTGGACTTGGCATCCTGCTGTGAACTTTGACATCCCACAAAGAGTGAAAACATCATGTAGAAACAAAATTATTTTTCATCAGCTCTCCACTGTAAGCAGTCAGTCTTCTGAGAATACTGTCACACCCTTGTTCAGATAGAGTCTTTTTTCAGATGGAAAGAGCTGAGTGTCCCAGAGACCGTTGCTGGTGAAATAGTTCATGTTGACACTGGGACTGAAGTATATCTCAGCAGGACTACTGCTCCTCTGTTGCCTGTTGGTTGTCTTTGCAGCAGTAATGTGAGGAACTGGTATTTCTTAACTTGCACAGTGGTGTTTTCCCACTGTTGGGATTTTACAAGCATTTGTAATAAGGGGAGATGCGTAAAAACAGCATTTTGGTTCTCTAGCACCCTTGTTGCTGAAGAAGCTTAAGAATATATTCCAAAAGCCCTGTTCCTTTCCCGAGGAGCAGAGCAGAGAGCTGTGCTGGCTCTCTGCAGTTGCTGGCTTTTTCAGCGTGCCAACAGTCACGCTGCATTAGCTGCTTCTACTTCCAGGGAAGTGAGTTTGAGTGTGAAAGCATGAGGACTGCCTTGCATAGGCTGCCTGTTTGGGCTTTCTGGTGCCCAGTCCATCTAGAATGGTTTCCTTGCATTTCTTCCTCCCTTGCCGTTAAGAAGGACCCTGGGTGGGAGCTAGAATGGACTTTTTGGCAGTTTGGGGAAAAACATCCGCTGCTAGTTCATACGTGCGCTACTCGTGTCTCCAGGCAGTAGAACCTTACGAGCTCTCTTACCCAGGAACGTGTGGAAGCTGTAAACATGGCCGAAGGCATCATCCATGATACGGAGTCTAAGATGGAGGAGTTCAAGGATCAGTTGCCAGCAGATGAGGTAGGTCGTTGCCCATCCCGTAACAGTGAAGGAGGTAAGATTCCTTACTACGTCTTTGCTCAAATTCTCACATAACTCGCAGCTGGCTCTGGCCAGTGGCACCAGCTCTGTGCCTGTTTCCATGCTGGGTAAAGATGGCACAGTTATTGACTTCTGTTTCTGCACTTGATGAGTGGCTGATGGGACGCACTTAGAAGAACACGGCTTTGATAGCAGCAAATACCCTATTTCAAAGTGTGAGTTTGGTATCTCTGAAGATCTAAGAGCCTGGGAAGCTGTTAATGAAAGATTTCTGCATGAATTATGTCCTTGACTTGGCCTTGCCATGATTTGATAAGAACTGTAGTGTTGTCTGTGTGAGAGGAGAGTGTTGCTCAAAAGCTGGAGAGTGTGTAGAGTACCTACCAGTGGGGTCGAAGACAACGCAGCGCTGTGGGCCCAGCAGTACAAACACAGCACCCGGGAGCTCGGAGGCAATGAAAATTACTTACCCACTGAACTCCAATTTTTCTTCTATCTTTGGAGTGAAGTGGATATTTAGTATCAAAAGAGTGCTTTTTCATACCCTTCGAAGCGACAGTTTAATTTCTGCGTTGTGAATTTCAAAAGCCTAGTTTGAATCAGATTACACAGTCTTCACGTTAACAACTCTCGAAAGCGGAATAAAAGGGCTCCTAGGGCCTCTGAGAGCCAAAGATGATGGTTCATTGGGAAGTAGCCTCTGATGAGTTTAAATCACAGAATGGTTCGGGTTGGAAGGGACCTCAAAGATCATCTAGTTCACCCCCCCTGCCATGGGCAGGGACACCCTCCACTACACCAAGTTGCCCAAAGCCTCATCCAACCTGGCCTTGAACACTTCCAGGGATGGGGCATCTACACCTTCTCTGGGCAACCTGGTCCAGTGCCTCACCGCCCTCTGAGTGAAAAATTTCTTCCTTATATCTAATCTAAATCTCCTCTCTTCCAGTTTAAAGCCATTGCCCCGTGTCCTGTCACTACATACCCCTGTCCAAAGCCCCTCTCCAGCTTTCCTGTAGGCCTTTTAGGTACTGGAAGGCTGCAATAAGATCACCCCGGAGCCTTCTCTTCTCCAGGCTGAA